ACAGGTGTAAGGAAGCCTGGAGTTACTCTATCAAAGAGCTCACGTATCATCCTGTATTATAAGACTGATCACCCATCAACCCAGGGAAAAGACAGGTTGAAGCCATAATCTGAGAAAATAGAGGCCCTACTTAACATCAATTCCATAAAAAAAATGTGACTGAAATTATGTGGTATGTAGATCTGTTGCTAGACAATGACCACAACACACCCATGGCCAAGAGTACAGGAACACTGTTTTCTATGTATATGGACGGACCATTGCTATGCAATGCATGCGCTGTGACATCACACAACAGTGGTGGGTAGTGATCACGTGACGTGTTTACGATGATGTGTTGTCCGGCCCTCAGCTATATAAGTGAGTGTCATAGTTCAGTTGAATTCAGTTACAAGTTATGGGAGAGAAACAGTAGCAATGGAAGCATCACGTGACCAGTATCACTCCTAGCAAAATGGCCAACAAACATATGTCATTATGCCAGCGTGCTGTCATCGAATTTCTTGTGAAAGAGGAAATCCCTGCTGCAGAAATTCACCAGAGACTTCAGTGTGCTTATGGAAGTGTGTGCATGGGTGCAAGCAGTGTTCGAAGATGGGTGAAACATTTTAAAGATGGGAACACCAGCATCGAAGATGAGCCTCAGAGCGGTCGTCCTCGAACAGCCTCAACTGAATGCAACAAGGAAAGAGTGGATGAGATAATTCAAGATGACAGGCGTGTGACTGTGGACACAATAGCCCGAAAACTTGGAATAGGGCACAGTGCAATACAGGAGATGATTGAAAGCTTGGGCTATAGGAAAGTTTGTGCTCGTTGGGTCCCGCAGTTATTGGCCGAAGACCACAAAGGTCGGCAAAAAGCCATCATCTCAGAACTGCTGCAGAGATATCGACACGAAAGCGATGACTTTTTGCTCTGTATTGTGACAGGTGACGAAAGCTGGTTTCACCATTTCGAGCCTGAAACGAAATGGCAGAGTATGGAATGACACCATTTGCATTCTCCATCAAAAAAGAAGGCAAAGACAGTGCCATCAGCTGCGAAGGTGATGGGCACAGTCTTCTGGGATGCAGAGGGGTTTACTCTGGCCGAATTCCTGGAACCTGGGCAAACCGTCAATGCTGCTCGTTATGTCCAGACGCTGCACAAGCTACATCGTGCATTGCGCGATAAACGTCCGGGACGAAACATCATCATCCTGCATGACAACGCTTGCCTCCACGCCGCTCGCCTCACATTGAAAGCAATTGCAAAGATGGGGTGGCAAGTTCTTCCACACCCCTCCTATAGCCCTGATCTGGCACCCTCCGACTACCATCTTTTCGGATTTGTGAAGGATCAGCTGCGTGGACAACATTTTGAGATAAGGGAGGCAATTCAGAAAGCAGTGCATCAGTGTCTTCAGATGGCTGGAATGGAATTTTATAGAAGGGGAATTTTCAAACTCCCAGAACGCTGGGAGAAATGTGTACAAAGTGGTGGCGATTATGTGGAAAAATAAAGAAAGGTCTGTAGATTGAGGTGGTGTATTTGGTTTGTCAATAATAAAGCATTTTACTTTACAAAAAATTGTTGCTCATGACTTTCAGTATGACCCTCGTAAATGAAATCCTACTTTAAATATTAACAACATAAATTACTTTTCTTTACAATAAATCAACTGAACTGAATTAATCTTTCTATACATATACTTTGGTATGCCCTACACAACCTACATTAGTTCTATTCAAATTTGTAAAGCACTTCATTTTTACTGACAATTAAACAGTGTAATACAGACCAGAATGGTACACAGTGAGAGAAATTTACACAGTGAAATAAAATGTTATAATGCATCCTTATGAACCTAACATATTAATTCTTTCAAACTGAAACTTTAAAATAGCAGATATTAAAGAAATGGTGTAACATATCTTGCAAAATATACAGCCTCAATTAAATCTATGTTTACTACCTCAATATACTCATAATATGAGTATGCTATCCACTTTATATTATAGTTTTCCAAAAACTGACATTTAGATGCAAACTTAATAGTAAAATTTGCCAGATTCGTTACAAATGCATGTTTAATTTTAACAGAAGAATTTATGAACAGTTGGAATTAATTGTTTCATAGTATGAGTATTGCAGCTTACAAGTGAATTAACTGGAGATATAATAACTAAATTATTTCCAACAAATATAGTCTACATTCTTTGTAAAAATAAACTGACTAATTTTTATCATGCTTTTAAATCATGTAAAAGTAGAGTTCTGTCTTCTGGAATACAATGCTGTGTATTACAGTGGAAAGTCAACAGACATTTCAGAGGAACATATAACCATCTCTGGGGCAGGAGAGAAAGCCAAACAAGAAACCGGCATAATGCACACAGCTTGACCATGAAGATGCATGTGATACACTACTCTGAAGTCTTACCACCCTCCTTTTCGTCGTCCTTACCGCTCAGTGAGACTTCAAGCCTCACGAGTTGGTAGTCACTTATACCTGTCATTCACGTTCGCCCCTTTGTGGTCTCCACTTGCATCCGCCGCTTCCTGTTGCTTTCTGGTTCAGGTTAGGGTGTGGGATTGCTCTGAATTTGAATTTGTATGGGCGCCAGTGGACTTGGGTGAAATCCACGAGTTTGGAACGGGGAAAACAAGGTGGGGATTTGGATAGGCAGGCGTTTGGGGTTCCGACTGCTCAGACGGTAGGACGAGATTCTGTCTCAGGGCGACTTCTGGGCCTTGCTCACACAAGGAGAGAGAGAACACTGAAAACAACTCGCACTTCACCAATAATGTTGCGTTTATTGTGGATGTTCACTACAATTACCTATTACCCGGCTGTAGCACTTTGAATTGTACACTGGACTCGGGCCAACACCGATTTAACGTCCAGTAGGTTACTACTGATTCCGGTTATTCCCTTGGGCTAATGACTCCCGCTATTTCCTTCTGATGACTCGTACTGACTTGTAATAACTTGTAATAACTTGTAATAACTGACTGCTCTTATTGCCTTGTACTGACCGACTACTCTTATTTCGTTCTGATGACTGACTGTTCTGGAGAGGCAGAAGTCCCGACGGTTCCGGGAACGCCTGGATTCCTCTCCTCTGAAATTTTGCTGATTGGCTGAACCTAAAATTTGGGTGTTTCTCTCATTTGCATTCAGCCAATCCCTATCCAGATCCATGTTAATTTGGGCCTAAGTACAACACGGTCCCTCTGACAGCTCTTAAATAAATGGAGGTACGCTAACAATCGCTCGGTACGCCCCTTCGAAAATTATTGCGATTCGTTTCTTGTCAAATCTCAAATTTTCAAAGGCTCGAACCCTCGCAGTTAAGCATTGAAATCCCCAGAGAACACAGCGGGATACTTCCTGCTCCGTTCTGGGTTTTCAAGAGACCTGCAGTTTGCTTGTCCCTCAGAAAGACCGGATGTTGTCCTTGGCGTCTGCTGGTGCTGGAGTCAATTGTGTATCGTCTATTGTTAACAGTACTACATTTCGTGTCCATGTAGTGCATGGTAATAAACAATGTAAATGAAAAAATATTCCCGAGGTCCCAGCATGGTGCGGTTACAGAAGCTGTAGGTGAATTTCACCTGACTACATGGTGTTACACCCCAGAAGACAGAAAGCTCCACAGTCACTGCTGTGAGGATCTCAAATCCAACATGTAAACACAGATTATTATCCTACCCCACTCCAAGAGATAACTTCATGGTCAGAAGTAACATTTGTGAAGTTTCAATACTAAAGATGTTATGCCAACACAAGACCCCATTGTGCTTCATTCAATTGACAGAGTCCTCTTCCAGTTCCCATAATAAGATCCACCTCTCAAGGCTTGCAGAAGGTAAGAGTATACAAATAATTCACACTACTGAGAAAGGCACCGGACATCAGAAGGGCAAGGGGCTGAATAAGCAACAGTGAGATTTAAAGAATTGGTACCATACAATTACTTACTTATGGAGCTGAGCTCTTCTTGAGGAGAAGCCAAATCTGCAGCTCCTGAAGAACTTCCCAGCATTTTTATGGAACCCTAAGGTTCATTACCGTGTTCACAAGAGCACTCCACTAGTCTTTATCCTGAGCCAGACCAATCCGTACCATCCCATTCTATCTCTCTAAGATCCATTTTAATATTATCCATCCACCTATGATTTGGTCTTCCCAGTGGTTTCTTTCTTTCTGTCTTTCCCACCAATATCCTATATGCATTCTTCTTCTCCCCATTCATTCTACATGCCCTGCCCACCTCATCCTGTTTGACTTGATCATTCTAATTATACTTGCAGAAGAGTACAAGTTATGAAGCTCCTCATTATGCAGTTTTCTCCAACCTCCTGTCACTTCATCCCCCTTCGGTTCAAATATTCTCAACACCCTGTACTCAAACACCCTCAGTCTGTGTTCCTCCATTAATGTACCACACAACAGGAATTATTAATTATAAAACCATGTTAGAGAAAGAACACAGATTCTCCCCACTCATTTGAAGGGCAACTAGCTCCCTCTACAATCCATCCCACATGTCCACCAGGTGTCACTTGTATTATAACTACCATGATCTTTCTCTGAGTTTTGGGTTTGTTGTTGATACTGACAGAGGAGAGGCATGCAACATAGGTAGGGCCAGAGAACACACACCTGACTTAAACCTACACCAATGTTCATTATTTCCTTGATATAAGTTTAATGAATTTACTCTGTTACATGCATTATAAAACTGGCGCTTATCCTTTCATCTAAAGTAGAGTGAATTATTTCAGATATATTCATGACACTTACATACAATACTATGCAAGGCAATATACATTTCAGCAGTGATGCGTCATTTAAGTTCTTCAAAATTCCAGCATTATAAAACAATAATTTAAGTGCTACGCAATTATTAATCATCAGAAACAATTTCTGAATTTGTCCAAGTAATGTTATATAAGAGTGCATGAAATTATTAGAGACAGACAAAATTGAAGAGTAACTCTTGCATACTTACCAACCATTTTTGTAGTTGTCATATACTTGGATCCTTTTGCTTCTTTACTGGAACTATCAAACCAGTTGAGTACATCAAGTACAGCTTGAGGATTCTTCTTTTGTTCCTGTTTGCTAATGTTGGAACTCATGAGCAAACGTGCCCAGGCTTCAGGCATACCCTGCAAGAAATATACAGTGGCATGTAGACCCGTTGCTAGGCAACAACTGTGAAATAAGCATCTATTCAACATCTTCTGCTAAGTAACAGCTCCGCAAACAAGCAAGTTTCCACGGCAACAAGAGAATACAGCAATAATGGGAAGCAGTCTTTTCTGTGTGATCCATGCCGAGATGCTATAAGCAGGACGGAGAAACCCTCCCTCTGTTCCTTGTTACCTTAACAAGAAACATGAAATATCATGAGATATTCAAGCTGAATAGGCTTAACCATACTATCATCAAGGTAGAGTTATACAGAGCTCAGATTGGCCTTACATAGTGCTACAACTGCCAAAACTTTGGCCACATATGGGCCAACTGGAAGCAACCTCCTACATGTTTGTGGTGCAGTGGTGACCACCTGCATAGGGGATGCCCTGAAAAGACAAATACAGAATCTATGCCAAGCTGCTGCAATTGGATCCTAGTAGGACAGAAACCTCATCCAGCGTCATATTGAGGTTGCAGCCATGGGAAAGGAGAACTGCAAAGGAGAAAAGTGCAACGAGCTCCCAAAGGAATCCTCTGGGGGGATATTCTTCTCTAAGTTCACCTCGCCAAAGCGGTCCCACGCAGTTGCACTGCATCAAGACAAGCAACACCAACAACCACAGGCAGAGCAGACATGTGGGAAGAGCTTTCAAACCTCTGTGCAGCAGCATCTACCACAGCAGGAAATTCTATCAGCACAGGGTCCAAGTTTGTCTAACAGTGAGATGATAAAAGTCACTACGGTAGTGCAACACATCATGACAGAACTCAGTAAAGCTGTGTCAGGAAAAGACAAAATAATGATCATTATAAAAATGGTACTGAATAAAATAAAATGGCAGCTAAGTCAAAGTATTTAATGCAAATGGAATTTGGAGGCAGCGCTATGAGCTCAGTAAACAGCTGCAAGACTTAAATACAGATGTGGCTCTGCTCTCAGACACATCTCAAACCCCATTAGAGGTTCTTTGTTCCAGATAATCACTTTTATTGGCCTGACTGACCACTTTTCAGGAAGAAAAGGCTGGATTTCCTTTGCAGTTAGAGAGGCATTCCCAATAATCATGTAGATTTGCCTCCCCTTGTTTCAACAGTAGCTACAGGAGTCTGCAGGCCAATTCATAATAAGTGCTACTTGCAGCAGTCTATAAGACACCAGACTATGCCTGGAATAATGCAGAAGTCACTGAGCTCTTAAGCATTAGACATAAGTCACTCCTGATAGGAGATCTGAATGCTAAACATCAATTTTGGAATAGCATAGTTTCTAATGTTCATGCGCAAAACTACTGAATTTATTGCATATTTATGAGGTTGAAATTTCAGCACCACAGTGTCCTACTCATTACTCTCCTGCAGGAAATGGTGACCTGCTCAATACTGTTGTGCACAAGAATGTCTGACTGTCGGAAGTCGTTGTCTCTGATATTCTGGACTCAGATCACCTACTAATTGTTTTCAACCTACTGGATCATGTTACAACTAGGAATTCCTCAGACACTAGTGACAAATTCACAGATTGGGAGTGGTTTCAAAGCCTGGCTTTTGAATTAATTTAATCTAGAATTCAAATTAACTCCAGGGAAGAAACCGATAAAGCATCCTGCAACGTCACTGCCTCTACAGTATCAGCATATTGGTTATCGACAAGAAAAATTATGCTCTTGAACCTAAATAATGATCCATCTGGTCTGGAGAGTCTGCTTACCTGTTACTAGGCAATGGCTGCAAAATAAGCAACTACACTACAGCTGCTGCTAAGTAACAACTCCGCAAACTAGCATGTTTCCACGGCAACAGGAGAATACAGCAATAATAGGAAGCATTTTTTCTATGTAGTCCATGCTGAGATGTTACAAGTGGGACCAGTTATCCGTTATAATTACCCCTGCATAGAGGTGGGTTCCAGTACCTCCACTGTAGCCTTACAAGTGACAGGAGGTGACAAAAAGGGGACTCAGTGCCTGGGGGTAAAACAGGATCACCCTATTCCTGGGGATATAAATACTGGGGCCTGGCCCTCCATGTTGAGGAAGCTTCAAATCTGAGGCAGTAAAATATGGTCATGCATCCCACGGAACACTGACCTAAGAATGACTGTGCTGGCAAGGACCAGCAGTAATTAATTGTAACAACAGATCTTGATAGAGAGAGCACCCCACATCAACAAACCCGCAACTGCCTGACAGCAATAAAAATCTGGTCTTCTTGGGCCCCAGATGGGTGCGTGACACCAAGACAGACTGGCCGACTGACTGTCGGTTGTAACCTAACTTTGACTTTTGTTGCAGTCAGTAGAAAATATAAGCAGTTCAAACTTTGTGGGGTTCAAGCTTATGACCGTTCAAGTGACTAAGCTGCCGTTGAAGCCAAGATAAGTAAGATAAGCGTGATCTCCTTTGTAAAGCCTGGACTGACAAGTGACTTGAACACAGCGCACAAGGACAAATTTTAAATAATATGCTAGATGTGCAATATGTACAATTGCCAAAGGCTAAGCATATTCATAAGACAAACTCATCATCTTGTCAGAGAGAATGTTACATAAGGACTAGGCACCAAGATAAACTGATGGTGGTGAACCGCCAGTCATAAATTAACTCTGACTCTGATGCAGTTAGTAAGAGAACTGTTGGGGTTCAGACATTGTGAGCTGTTGCTGGTAGAATGTGGCAGGTGAGGTTGGGGACAGTTTAGGAACACAGAGAAAGGGGAACATCCACTGTTGGAAAATGTGACTGGACACTGGTGTGTGTAACAGTAAACTGTAAACTGTAGTCACGCACTGTACCAAAGTGTACAATAAATCAAGTCATCAATCCAAAACCTGTCTAAGTCACACTCTATCATGTGACAATACTTTCTATGAACAAGGATGTTAATGCCACCTTTCACTTATTTCATCATAGAAACTACACAACTTTCTAAGAAGTGAATATAAAAAAAATATTGCATCAAACTTTTACAGCAAAACCATCAACATTAATCACAACAATATATGCATTCATATTATATTAAAACAAAGCATGGTTCGAATTTTTAAATTCTTCTTGATTACCAGAGTGCTAATTGACAAAGGTAAATATGTGGCATATGAAACACAATAACTGAACTCTGACAACATGAAGATTCACACATGCAATGCATTCACTTAACTTTGTAATTGGGCTAAGATTATGATCCTAGACATGCAGATGACTGTGTTAATGTGGAATAAAGTACTTTATGATCTTTCAAAAGAGTTTTCAACAACCACCCATGCTCAGAACTTATACAGTGTTTTCCTAATGGGAAGTATTTCAGGGGATTGTTCAAAAAGTACTTCTCAAAGAGGAAAACTTTTTAAAAGGAAAATTCAGAATTTTCTGAATCCACTTTTGCGTTTTGATCCCAAGCAGCTGCTCATCATATTTCAACTACAAATGATACAAATAACATAAGCATCTGAACAAGTGCTGTATTTGGATTTGCTTCCACTTCTTGTACAATATTAGGTTTCTCCTGCAAAGTCACTGCTTTCTGTTTAATTTGAACTGCCACCATATTTCATTTCAATTAATTTACACCATAATGCATGTAAAGAAAGTCTTGCTCTTATCAAACTTGCATACACATATAACACCACGCTAGCTAGACAAAGGCATGAATGCTGTAAGGCAAATGACTAGAAAAAAGTGTTCAATGATATGCTTCACTTAGTAAAAGAAGCATAACAAAAACTGTGAAACTGAGATTGAGGAGTCAGTACGACAGGTACAACTTAAGAAGTCCATAACTGATATCAGCTATGGTACAGTCGGATGATCAAGAAATAAATCATGGTTTTAAAGTGTTTTAAATATGTTACGATCAAACTTGCACATTGTGTGTGATTTATAAGTATTATTTTAAACATATTAAATGGGAGATTTCTGTATAAAAGTTGCAAGAAAGCGAACTTTTAAAGTGAGAGAATTTTTACAAGGAAAACTTTATATGCACAAAAATTATCATTATCCTCATGAGAACATTGGTGAGACTTCAAAACTCAACTTCTCATGCAGGAACTCTTTGTATCCACAAAACACTGTACACTGCTATTCTCTTATCCCCTTCTGGTGCCTGCTTTCCAGGAATATTCCTCATAAAATTTCTGTATGCATGTTTTTCAACCATCTACATTACACTTTTAGAACAACATAACCTCCCTGACTGCACTATCCTAACAATACTAGATGACCTGCATAAATCATAAAGTCCGTCCCTGTACAGAATATCCTGGGAAGAAGTTGCCAATTTGAAGGTCATTAACCAAGTCACTTAGAACTTAAAGAAATGTCATTTGAACATGTGTCCTACTTGCAATGGATAAGGATTATGCTTTATAAAAGATTATTAAGAACAATGACAGATGTAACTGAAATACATTAAGTGTTTCAAGATGGCAGATGTATTGTAATGTTTATAGTGTTTTGGAACTGTTGTGTATGATCTGTCAGTAGGGGGCATGTGGTAGCATAGTTGGTTGAGGCGCTATGCTACAAGATGGAAAGTCACGGGTTCAGTTTCCAGTGAGGTCCCTGGATTTTGCAATTGGCCTAATCTTTCCAGCTGCACTATGGCCATGGGGTCAACTCAGTCTCTAACAGAAATGAGTACCATGAATCTTCTTTGAATAAAGTGTGGGCGATGTGTAAGGCTGACAACGTCACCGCCATCTGTGAGCTATCTGGCTAGAAAATGTGGGAGCCTTGACATCTCACAACCCTATGAGTCTCCATGGCCTGTTAACCTCTTTTCTGACAGTCCATAGTCACTTAAGATCCTAATATCAGCTTCCTTCCATCCACTACTATTTCACTTTTCTCCTCTAGCATCTTGCAGTTAACTAATTCACAACTCACAGCATGCTCCGCTTCTCATTTGGTTCCCCAAAGACATTCACTCTCCACTGCTTCTAGGCTCACAATGAGACTAAGAATGTCCTCTG